ATTCTCATTGGTTTCGAAGAACTTCTTTATTTCTGCCTTCATTTCGTTGTTTACCCAGTCAACATTCAAGAGCCAGTTGTTCAGTTTCCATGAAGCTGTGCGGTTCTGGGTCGGTTTCTGAATTCTGAGTTCTAACTTGATTGCACTATGGTCTGAGAGGCTGTTTGTTATGATTTCAGTTGTTTTGCATTTGTTGAGCAGTGCTTTACTTCCAATTATGTGGTCAATTTTAGAGTAGGTGTGATGTGGTGCTGAGAAGAATGTGTATTCTGTGGATTTGGGGTGGAGAGTTCTGTAAATGTCCACCAGGTTTGCTTGCTCCAGGTCTGAGTTCAAGCCCTGGGTATCCTTGTTGATTTTCTGTCTGGTTGATCTGTCTAGTATTGACAGTGGAGTGTTAAAGTCTCCCACTATTATTGTGTGGGAGTCTAAGTCCTTCTGTAAGTCATTAAGAACTTGCCTTATGTATCTGGGTGCTCCTGTGTTGGGTCCATATATGTTTAGGATCGTTAGCTCTTCTTGTTGTATCGATCCTTTCACCATTATGTAATGGCCTTCTTTGTCTCTTTTGATCTTTGTTGCTTTAAAGTCTATTTTATCAGAGATGAGAATTGCAACTCCTGCTTTTTTTTGCTTTCCATTAGCTTGGTAAATCTTCCTCCATCCCTTTATTTTGAGCCTTTGTGTATCCTTGCATGTGAGATGGGTTTCCTGGATACAGCACACTGATGGGTTTTGGATTTTTATCCAATTTGCCAGTCTGTGTCTTTTGATTGGTGCATTTAGTCCATTTACATTTAGGGTTAATATTGTTATGTGTGAATTTGATACTGCCATTTTGATTCTAAGTGGCTGTTTTGCCTGTTAGTTGTTGTAGATTCTTCATTATGTTGAAGCTCTTTAGCATTCAGTGTGATTTTGGAATGGCTGGTACTGATTGATCCTTTCTATGTGTAGTGCCTCTTTTAGGAGCTCTTGTAAAGCAGGCCTGGTGGTGACAAAATCTCTGAGTACTTGCTTGTTCGCAAAGGATTTTATTCTTCCTTCACTTCTGAAGCTCAGTTTGGCTGGATATGAAATTCTGGGTTGAAAGTTCTTTTCTTTAAGAATGTTGAATATTGGCCCCCACTCTCTTCTGGCTTGTAGTGTTTCTGCCGAGAGATCTGCTGTGAGTCTGATGGGCTTCCCTTTGTGGGTGACCCGACCTTTCTCTCTGGCTGCCCTTAGTATTCTCTCCTTTATTTCAACCCTGTTGAATCTGACGATTATGTGCCTTGGGGTTGCTCTTCTTGCGGAATATCTTTGTGGTGTTCTCTGTATTTCCTGCAATTGAGTGTTGGCTTGTCTTGCTAGGTGGGGGAAATTTTCCTGGATGATGTCCTGAAGAGTATTTTCCAGCTTGGATTCATTCTCTTCGTCCCCTTCTGGTACACCTATCAAACGTAGGTTAGGTCTTTTCACATAGTCCCACATTTCTTGGAGACTTTGTTCATTCCTTTTTGTGCTTTTTTCTCTGATCTTGGTTTCTCGTTTTATTTCATTGAGTTGGTCTTCGACTTCAGATATTCTTTCTTCTGCTTGGTCAATTCGGCTATTGAAACTTGCGTTTGCTTCGCGAAGTTCTCGTATTGTGTTTTTCAGCTCCTTTAATTCATTCATATTCCTCTCTAAGGTATCCATTCTTGTTATCATTTCCTCGAATCTTTTTTCAAATCTTTTTTCAAGGTTCTTAGTTTCTTTGCATTGATTTAATACATGATCTTTTAGCTCACAAAAGTTTCTCATTATCCATCTTCTGAAGTCTAATTCCGTCATTTCGTCACAGTCATTCTCCGTCCAGCTTTGTTCCCTTGCTGGTGAGGAGTTTTGGTCCTTTCTAGGAGGCGATGTGTTCTGGTTTCGGGTGTTTTCCTCCTTTTTGCGCTGGTTTCTTCCCATCTTTGTGGATTTGTCCGCTGGTCGTCTGCGTAGTCGCTGACTTTTCGTTTGGGTCTCTGAGTGGACACCCAGAATGTTGATGATGAAGTATTTCTGTTGCTTGGTTTTCCTTGTACCAGTCTAGCCCCTTCGCTGTACGACTGTTGAGGTCCGCTCCAGACCCTGCTTGTCTGGGGTGCACCTCTAGTAGCCGTGGCACAGCGAGGGATGCTACCAGTTTCTTTTTCTGCTCTCTTTGTCCCAGGATGATGCCTGCCTAATGACAGTCTTTTGGATATAGAGGGGTCAGGGAGCTGCTTGAGGAGACAGTTTGTACTTTATAGGGGTTTAATTGCTGAGCTGTGCACTCTGTTGTTCATTCAGGGCTGTTAGGCTGCTATGTTTGATTCTGCTGAAACACAGGTCATTAAACAACCCTTTTTTTTTTTTTTCTCAAATGCTCTGTGTTGAGGGGTTTGGGCTTTATTTTTGGATGTCCGATCCGGTGTCCTGCCCAGCTCAAAGGCAGACTAGCCACTGTTTGGCTGCCGAGGCTCCGCCCTGCTGTTGTGTGATTTGCGCTGTCCGGATATCCTTGCTGTGGTCTCTCATCGATCTGTCTAATATTGACAGTGTGTGTTAAAGTCTCTCACTATTGTAGTGTGTTGGCTCAGCAACGGAGGTCCATAAGCACTTGCTTTAGTATCTGGTGCTCCTGTATTGGGTGCCTATATTTTTAGGCATAGTAGCTCTTCTTGTCAGCAGTTGTCCCTTTACATTCTCAGCCCTTCGGGGCGGGTTGATCCTTGTTGGCAAAGTATGTTATTAGAGACTAGAATTGGGCGTGTATCTCAGTTGCTGCCGGGTTGCTGGTAAATCTTCCTCCAGTCCTTATTTTGAGTATCTGTTATCTGTTCCACATGAGATTGGTCTCCGTAGTGGTGGACGTACTCTTAACTCCACAGAGCCGTCAGAGCGTTTGTCTCGGATGCCCGTTTCTGCCGGGTTGTGTTGAAATGGCGGTTTCGTTCCAACCATTTTGATGCTAGCTAATGGTTGTTTTACCCATTATTTGATGCGTTTTCTTCATTGTGTCAAGTGTCGTTATCAATCTCATGTGTTTTTTGCAGTGGCTGGTACTGGTTGTTCCTTTCCAACAAGGGTTCAACACAAGCGCGGACAAGCGCGCCTGTGGGGATTGCTGGGTAGGGCTTGTCTAACGGTTTTTATTTTCGGCTTTCGCCAGGAGCTTTGCCAGGATATGAAATTCTAGTTTGAAAGTTCTTTTCTTTAAGATGTTGAGTTGCCCCGTCTCTCTGGCTTGTCGTGTTTTCAGCTGAGAAATGCACTGACTGATGGGCTTCCCTTCTGATGGGTAATCGACCTTTCTCTCTGGTGCCCTTAGGGTTGTTCTCACAGCGCCATCTTGAGTCCCCTCTATGTGCTCTTCTTGAGGAATATCTTTGTGGTGTTCTCTGTATTTCCTGGATTTGAATGTTGGTCTGCCTTGCTAGGTTGGGAAAGCTCTCCTGGATAATATCCTGAAAAGTGTTTCCCAACTTGGTTTCATTCTCTCCGTCACATTCAGGTACACCAATCAAACGTAGATTAGATCTTTTCGCATAATCCTATGTTTCTTGGAAGCTTTTTTCATTTCTTTTCACTCTTTTTTCTCTAATGTTGCCTTCTCATTTTATTTCACTAAGTTGATCTTCAATCTCTGATAACCTTTCTTCTGCTTGATTGATTTGACTATTGAACATGTGTATGCTTCTTGAAGTTCTTGTGCTGTGTTTTTCAGCACCATCAAGTAGTTTATGTTAACATTCTCGTCTCATCTTTTTTCAGTTCTTTTGCATTGGGTTATAACATGCTCCTTTAGCTCAGAGAAGTCTGTTATTACCCACCTTCTGAAGCCTGCTTCTGTCAATCTGTCCAATTCATTCTCCATCTAGTTTTGTTCACTTGCTGATGAGAAGTTGTGATCCCTGTGAGGAGAAAGGTGTTCTGGTTTTTGGTGATTTCAGCCTTTTTGCACTGGTTTCTTCTTATCTTCAAGGATAGGTTTCTTCCTATCTTCTTTATCTATCTTTGGTCTTTGAAGTTCGTGACTTTCAGATGGGGTCTCTGAGTGAACTTCCTTTCTGTTGATGTTGAAGTTATTTCTTTCCGTTTTCTAGTTTTCCTTCTAACACTCAGGCCCCTCTGCTGCAGGAGTTCCACTCCAGACCCTGCTTACCTGGGAATCACCTGCAGGGGCTGCATAACAGCAAGGATTGCTGCCTGTTTTTTTCTCTGGTAGCTTCATCCCAGAAGGGTACCCACCAGGTATCAGCCGGAGCTCCCCTGTATGAGATATCTCTCAGGATATACAAGGGTCAGGTAGCCACTTGAGGAGGCTCAAGTGCTCTGCTGGATGCTCCATTGCTCCCTTCAGGGCTGCTAGTCAGGGATGTTTAAGTCTGCTGAACTGGACCTCACAACCACCCCTACTTCCCAGGTGCTCTGACCCAGGAAGGTGAGGGTTTATTTATAAGTCCCTGATATGTCACTGCCTTTTTTCAGAGATGCCCTGCCCAGCAAGGAGGGAGTCTAGTCACTCCCTTGTGTCTAGACAAGTCTGTCTGCAGAGGACTTGCTGAGCTGCCGCAGGCTCTGCCCAGCTGCTGTGTAAACTTCCTTGTGATTTTGTTTACACAAGCAACGTTAGAACTGCCTTAGTAATGGCAGATGCCCCTCCCCTCCACCAAGTTCGACCATCCCAGATTGAGCTCAAACAACTGTGCTGGCTGCGAAAATCACAAGCCAGTGGGCCTCAGTTTGCTGGTCTTTGTGGGGGTGGGATCCACCGAGCCAGATCACTTGGCTCCCCGCCTTCAGCCCCCTTTTTTCAGGGGAATGGGTGGTCTGTCTCGCAGGCATTCCAGGCCCTGGCTAAAACAGGCACCCAGTTTTGTGCTGGAAACCCATGGCAAGAATCTCCTGGTCTCTGGGCTGTAAAGACCGTGGGAAAAGTGCAGTATCTGAGCCAGAGTGCTGGAGTGTCCACAAGTCCCTGCTGGCCTCCCTTGGGTAGAAGAGGGAGCTCTCCAGTCCCTTGCACTTTCCAGGTGAGGCAGCGCCCCACCCTGCCTCAGTTTGCCCTCCTTGGGCTACACCGACTTTTCAACCAGTCCCATTGAGATGAACCTGGTACCTTGGTTGGAGATGCAGAGACCACTGGCCTTCTGTGTCGCTGTCACTGAGAACTGCACTCCAGTTCCTGTTCGGCCCTCTTGGCGGAAGTCCCCCGAAGTCCATATTTTTTCCTGAAATACTCCTCAACACAGAAAAACAAATTCATAGCACAAAATACAATAGCTTAAGACCAGCCTTAGAATTATTTTTCACATTTATGAACACTTTACAGAGGAGATTTTTTTTACCATTAGTTCAACCATTTGCACAGAGAGAGAGAAGCCAGAAATCTGATTTGTAAGACATTTTTACCCTTTTGCTGGCATGCCAGGCTTCTGGGTTCTCTTTCTCTGAGTGACCCTAGTGATCTAGCCTGTTGGCACCAGTGGCCTGGGGGCTAAGTCATGTTTTAAAGGAAAATTATTTTTTGAAATTCCGCCAGTGCAAAACATGTGTGATAAAACATGGACATTAGCCACTCTGCTTAGCACCCAGTATAAACTGGCAAAGCTTAAATTTTCCCCCAGACGAGTCCTGTCATCTTTAATCCAACCTCTGACTTGGAGTTTTAACACATGGTCTCTGGGCAAGGTGATACCCTTAGTAACAGAAAAGATAGGAAAGGAAAAGTAGAGGAGAAAAATATTGCCTGTGGCAGGGTGGGGAAGGTGAAGAGCTCTGGGAGGCCAGAGAAAAGGCCCACTCACTGCAGCCAACAATGAAAAGTTTAGGTGGCCACTTGTCGGTAGCAAAGGGACCTTTTCCAGCAGTCCCATCAGCTCTTAAGTTTCCCCTTTTAGGGAGGAAAAAGCTCCCCATGTCTCTCCTAACCCTGTCACCCTCAGCCATCAGCAAAGAGTGCAAGATAGATTAATCCAAAGAGCATAGTAGTTAACATCCCATAGTGCCAAACCTGCTTTTAGCCTAGAGGGACTTTACTGAGAGGGGCCTCTAAGCCCCTAAATCTTAGAAGGGACTCTAACCCTCCTAGGTTGGGCCTCTAACCCAAGGTCGGTCAAACATCCTTGCCTTTTATTAAGAGGGGCCTCTAACCCACTCTGTCTTAGGAGACACTGTAACTCCCTAGTTGGGTCTCTAACCCAATCCCATTCTTTACCCAGGTACCCCATCATTTACCCAAAGTCGTCCAATCAGTGCTGCAATCTAATTCCTTTGGGTTGGGGGGTTTCCTTAGAATTGTTCCTTTTGTGGTTCACAAGAAAGATGTTACCAAATCCCACCATTTACCCAAAGCTATCCTTTGGATTCGGGCTTTCCACAGTATAGTCACTTCTGTGGTTGCCAGAAAGGTGTTACAGGACCCCAACACTTGCCTTACGGTAGCTGTTGGGTCAGGGTTTCTGCACTACAGTCCCTTCTGCACTACAGACCATAGGGTCACCAGAAATATGTTACAGGAAAGGTGTTCTGATCCAGACCCTAAGAGAGGGCTGCTGGTTGCCCATTTTTATGGTTATTTCTTGATGATATGCTAAACAAGGGGTGGATTACTCATGCCTCCCCTTTTTAGACCATATAGGGTAACTTCCTGACCTTGCCATCTCATTTTTAAACTGTCATGACTCTGGTGGGAGTGTAGCAGTGAGGACAACCGGGGGTCACTCTCATCGCCATTTTGGTTTTGGTGGGATTCGGCTGGCTCCTTTACTGCAAGCTGTTTTATCAGCAAGGTCCCTATGACCTGTATTTTGTGCTGACTTCCTATCTCATCCTGTGACTTAGAATGTTTTAACCATCTGGGAATGCAGCCCAGTAGATTTCAGCCTCATTTTATCCAGCTCCTATTTAAGATGGAGTTGCTCTGGTTTACAGACCTCTGACACCCTCAAGCAATATTGAAGTCCTAACCCCAGTATCTCAGAATTTTACCTTATTGGGAAATGGTATTGTTGCATATACAATTAATCAAGTTAAGATGGCACTGGAATAGAGCCCCTAATTCAGTATGACTCAACGTCCTTATGTAAAAGGGAAATATGGAGACAGTCATGTACACAGGGAGAATGCCATGGGAAGAGTGGAGTTATCCTGTCACCAGCCAAGGCCCTACTAGAAGATAAGAGACGGTCCTATAACGGAGCCCTTCCTAAGGCCTTCAGAGGAAGCACGGCCCTCCTAAGCCCTGAACAAGGTTTCCACAACTCTAAGAAAACTGTAAATTTCTGTTGTTTAAGCCACTTGGCCCTAGTTTATGGTATTTTATTCTAGTGGCCCTAGCAAACTAATCCATCCAGGTTTCTTTTGATTAGTGTTTAACATGGTAGATCTCAGGGCTATGGCTGCCATTTATTTTTTGCTTTTTGTTTTTCTCTCTACCTTTTATTTCTCTGTTTTCTTTTTCTTGACTTCCTTTGAGTTACTTGAACATATTTTAGAATTCCATTTTGATTTATCTGTACCTTTTAAAGGTGTATATCTTTGAAGAGCTTTTTTATGTAATATGTTAAATATTTAAGACAACGATGATATTATTATAGATAATAATGACATAATTGTATTAAATATTTTCCCTACATACATTTAAAACCACAATAGTGGCTACACTTTTTGCTTCCAAAAAGTGGAAACATTACAATTTTTGCTTTCATTATCAAATTTTAGGAAAATCAAAAAGTGAGTATATTGTATTTTTGCTTACTGTGTTTTCTTGCTTCATGCTTTTCCAAAGTTCCTTCTTTTATTACTTCCTTTCTGTTTAGACAGCTTCCTTTATTCATTAATTTAGGGTAGATCTGCTGGTTAAAAAAAAAAAAAAATTCTTTAGTTTTTCTTCATCTGAGGATGCCTTGATTTCTTCATTTTTGAAGCTATTTTTACTGGATATAGAATTCTGGATTGATAGCTATTTACTTGAAAATATTGTGCCACCTCTTGGCATCTATCATTTTGGATGAGAAATTTGTTGTAATTAAATTACAACAAATGCATTGTTGTTTTTCAGCTGCTCTAAAGATTTATATTATTTTTCTTTGTTTTCAGACATTTGACTATAATGTGTTTCAGTGTGGATGTTTTTATGTTAATTCTATTTAGAGTTTGCTCAGCTTCTTTAATCTGTGGGTTTACATCTCTTATCAAATTTAGGTAGTTTTCAGCCATTATTTCTCCCAGTACTTTTTTAGCCCTGCCCTCTCTCTCTTCTCCTTCTGGAACTCTATGAGATAAATATTAGATCTTTTGTTACAGTCCCATAGGTTCCAGAGGTTCTGTTTATGTATTTATTTATTTTTAGTCTATTTTTACTCTGTTGTTCATCTTGAGTGTGAACTCAAAATTATCTGAGACAGATCTCAATTGATTTAGTTTATTTTGCTAGGGGTAAGCCCCCGTGACACAGCTTCTGGAGGTCCTGATGACGTGTGCCCAAGGAGGTTGGGGTACAGCTTGCTTTTATACACTTTAGGGAGACATGAGACATCAATCAATATGTGTAAGATGTACTTTGGTTTGGTCCAGAAAGGTGGGACAGCTTGAAGTGGGGCCTTCCAGGTCATAGGTAGATAAGTGACAAACAGTTGCATTCTTTTGGGTTTTTGATCAGCCTTTCATTTAATACACAATTTACATGCGGGCAGGAAGGGGGTGAAGATAGAAGTTATCCTTTATCTGGCTCGATAAGTCTGCAATTTTGCATAAACAATACGGCAGAGGAAGCAATTAGGTATGCATGTGACTCAGGTGAGCAGAGGAATGACTTTGAGTTCTGTTTGTCCTTCTCCTTGCGCCTGTGGAGATAAGCTATGGATTTAGGTTGCCAGGGTAAAATTCCACAGAACTGTTTTAGGATGAAGGTCTTGAGGCCCACAGTGAATCTCCCTGTGGGTAAATGGTGAGGGAGGTATGTAGCTTCTTTATCATTGTAGCTACCTTATTTAGGAATAAAATAAGTGGCAGCTTTGCCTGATGCAGTTCCCAGCTTGACTTTTCCCTTAGACTTAGTGATTTGCAGGCCCTGAGATTTATTTTCCTTTCACATTGGGTGGTTTCTATTGTGCTATCTTCGTTTTCACTCATTCTTTCTTCTATCTCGTCCACTTGCTGTTGAGCCTTTCTATTGCTTTTTTTGGTTGTTGTACTTTTCAGTTCTAAAATTTTCATTTGTTTCTTTATGGCTTTTATTTCTTTGCTGAGAATTTCTGTTGTTTCATTTGCTTCAAGCAGGTTTATGATTGTTCATTGAACCATTTTGTATGACTGCTTTAAAATCTTTGTCAGATAACTTTGACATCTTTGTCATCTTAAGTGTTGAAATTTATTGATTTTTTCCCATTCAAAGAGATCTTTCTGGTTCTGGATGAGTGGTTTCTTAAATTGAATTCTAGGCATTTTGGTTGTCACACTATGAGACTTTGGATCCTATTTAAACCTTCTCTTTGACTTCCTTCTTTTAATGCCACTCTGGCAGAAGAAGTGAGGTTGCTATCTCATTCCTGTCTGGTGAGGGTTGAAGCCCAGGTGCCCCCCACACCATGGCCTCCTTTGACACTCAGAGGAATAAGGGGGTCCTCATTACTACTGAGTACAGTGGAAGCTCTGGCTCCTCACTGGACTGTACCTTCTTGGCTGGAAAGAATAGAAGTTTATCCATAGTCTGCCAACACGGTCTCCACTGAAACCATTGGGGGTGGCCTTGTCATCCCAAGGTGATGGTGAATGACTGCTAACCTTGGCTTCTGTAAATAAAACTGCTAGTTTGCTCTGCAAAGTGCTCACTATGTAAAGCTACTTACCTTTTCTTATCAGTGACTACCAGATTTGCTGGCCTTTGCTTACTGGTAATGACCAGAATAAGCAGCCTAAGTTAATTCCATCCTGGCTCCTACGACTTGTAATAAGTAAGTAAAAATCTGTGGATCCCACCTCTGCCCAGACAATGTGTAAACTAATGCTTATCTTGACTTCTGTAAACCACTTAGGTAACAATCGAAGTGACAACAAGTCCCCTAGCCCTTGGAATGTCCGGAGACCCACTCCCTCCTCTCTGCCTGGGAGGTGATTTACGGAATCCCCTGGCCCTCAGAATGTCTGAATCCCTTCACCCCCACCTCCGGAGGTGGTTTACGGGTATAAAAGAGTCTTGTCACCCTCCATTCGGGGCCACGGGGTTGGAGAGACGTGAGTCCTCCGTGGTCGCCGGCAATAAAGATCCTGCAATTTGGCATAAAAAAAAAAAACAAACTAGACTTTCCACTAGAGCTTTTCTGATACCCCCTGGGTAGAGAGATTGGGACACGCCCTTCACAGCCTGGTGAGGGTAGAAATCTTAGCTCTCCAGTCATCCTTTGCTTGTGGGAGTGGGACCACAGTCTTTCCTGTAGCATTTAGCTGGCATAGAGCAATTATTGTCTAAAAGCTTCCTATCTTGCTAGGCTGTCTCTCTCTTAGTTCTCCGGCTAGGAAGAGCAGGTATTGTTGAGCCTTTGTTTTGCTTTGTTTTGTCTGTGCCACTGGCATTTCCAGTTTTCCAGTTGCTTCTGCTCTAACTTTGGTGTATATGAGGGGAAGAAATCTAGGGAACTCATCATCATGTCATTCCTTCAGTCCTGAAGTCCCTAGCCAGTCTTCCTTCTCCTCTCCACACTTCAGAGTCTTCTTACGTTTGTTTTGCATCTATCCAAGGTTTTTAGTTGTGCTTAGCAGGAAGAATACGCAAAGTCCATCTACTCCTTCTTTGCAGAAGTCCCTTAGTGCATCTTTAAGACTTATTTTGGAAGCTATCTTGAGATAGAGAAAAGGAACAGAGTGCCTTGAGATGGAATCTGTGTGAAAGGGATTTATAAAGAAGTGAATGAGGAGGTGGGACTAAGAAGTGAGGGAGACCAAACAAGGGGGCATGATTCACAAAGGGCAACGTTGGCCTGATCCTATGCAGAGCGAGAGGGACAGTGCAAGTGTCCTCTCTGAGTCATTCTGATCAGAGGCAAGGATGGGAATCTTCATGGGAGTGTGAAATTATACAGGACCCCGTGCTCAGAAGGGCCCATATTTGGTTTAACCTTCTGCTCTCACTGTCTTGAAATTCTCAACAATTTTCTATTCATAACAAGACGCTCTGTGTTTTTGCTCTCACTGGGCCCAATAAATTATGTAGCTAGCCCTAGACATGGGGGTAGAGTACTTATAGCCTTCCCCCACCAAAAGCAGTTGAAGGGGTATAAATTCCTAGGCATTTTAGGTTCTTCCTGAGCTCACGGTTCCTGGGCTGAATAATGTTCCCTCTCCAAAATTCATGTTCATCAGAACTCCAGAATGTGGCTTTGTTTGGAAAAGGGTCTTTGAAGATGTAAACAGTTAAGATGAGGTTGTATTGGAGTAGGGCAGGCCCTAATTCACAGACTGGTATCCTCATAAGGAGAGAAGACAGACACACACACACACACACACACACACACACACCACACACACACACACACGAGAGAATGCCATTTGAAGATAGAGCCAAAGGTGGCAGTGCAGCAGTCAGAAGCCAAGGAACACCAGGAATTTCTGGCAGCCACCAGAAGCTGGGGACAGATCCCACTCCGAGCCTCCAAAAGGAACAAACCCTGCCGACACCTTGACTGTAGAAGCCAGCTGCCTTCACTGTGGCAGAATAAACGTCTGCTGCTTCAAGCCACCCAGTTTGTGGAACTTTGCTATAGCAGCCCTAGTAAACCAGCAGACCAAGCCAGGTGAACTCCAGGTGCTGGCTGCTGGGAGTCAAGGCACATCCCAACCAGCATGCCAGAAAAACATCAAAAGATCCAAGGGGCAAAGGCAGAGCCCAGCTAGGGCTAACCCCTCTGGCCTTGACCTTTCAGTGAACCAAACCAACTTCACACCTCTAAAATGGGGGTGTGGACTAATGACCCAGCCAAAAGGGAGGCATTCAGACAATAGAGGAGGTAAGGCCTCCAGTGACACAGAGACAGCTGGTGCCACTTGAAAGCATTCACATTCAGAGTTTTAAAAACCAAGCAATGCCAACCAAACAAGCCTGTCTTATGTGCCAGATTCAGCTCCTGAGCCTGGAAATTATACTCCCAGCTGGGAAGCTCTCCAGGGACTCAGGTGATCCGTGCTGATTCTCACATTACAGCTGCTCTCTGGGGTGAAGTTTCTTCTACCTCCAAAGTAGGCCGGCTTTATTCACAACTCCTTCATATAGATGGTGTCCTGAGCTATTCATAAAAACCTCTCCCACTGGCCCTAGGGGTTCTGAAATTCTAGCCAACTTACTTCTTGGGTTAAAACATAAGTTATTTCCTCAAATGTATTATCGTTACTGGCGTTGAGTCCGTGCAGGTCTGTAGCAACCTTGATTCTTGCCTCCTCAGAAAAACAATTTGACTGAGGGGGCATAAGGCAGAGAGAGAGCTAAGGCAAGTTTTATAGCAGAAGTGAAAGTGTATTTAAAAGATTTAGGGCAGGAATAAAAAGAAGTAAAGTACACTTGGAAGAGGACCAAGTGGGCACCTCGAGAGATCAAGTGCACGGTTTGAACTTTGACTTGGGTTCTCTTTCTTGGCACACTTCCGGGGTCTCGTATTCCTTCTTCCCGGATTCTTCCGTAGGTGTGTGTAGTGGGGGAGGGCTGCCATATGTACAGTGACCTGCCTGCCAGCACTTGAGAGGGGAGTACGTGCAGTGTGTTCACTGGAGCTGTACATATGCTCACTTGAGGCATTGTCCCCTCCCCAGTTGTGTTCCCATAGGCCACATACCAGTTAAATTCTGCCATTTTGCCTCTTGGTGTGCATGCTTGAGCCCACTCCCCCAGTTCCTGAGATCCTATCTGGAAGCTGCTAATCACCAGTTCCAGGTTTTTTCTGTCTATTGGGAGACTGCCTTTCCCTGGCACTGGCTGCGACCGATTACTATTTTAGAGAAGACACTTAACAACCATCCTGCCCTGCTCATGTGTGACGAGTTATCTACTATAACGTTATCATCAAGGACTATACTCTACTAAAAGGTAGATTAACACAGATTACACCCTCACCTCATCTCTCTGAAGACCTTGCAAAGTCTTAAGTTAAGGGGAGTACATTTCAATAGGTAAGGGAATCAGGAGAGCCAGAGCCACAGGCCACTGCTTGGGGAGCACAGTCCAGGCAGAACGACACTGGAGAAGGCAGCCAGAAGCTGGAGAGAGGCATGCACCATGAGGAGGAGGAAACTTGTATAGAAAAGGAAGGAGGCCGGGCATGGTGGCTCATGCTTGGAATCCCAGCACTTTAGGAGGCCGAGGTGGTTGGATCACCTGATGTCAGGAGTTTGAGACCAACCTAGTCAACATGGCAAAACCCCGTCACTACTAAAAATACAAAAATTACCCAGGATTGGTGATGCACAACTGTAATCCCAGCTACTCAGAAGGCTGACACAGGAGACTCGCGTGAACCCAGGGAGTGGAGGTTGCAGTGAGCTGAGACTGCACCACTGCATGCCAGACTGGGCAACAGTGCGAGACTCTGTCTCAAAAAGAAGAGAGAGAGAGAGAGAGAGAGAGAGAGAGAGAGAGAGAGAGAGAGAGAGAGAGAGAGGAGAAAAGGAAGGAGTCCTGGAAGAGAAACACTAAATTCAAATATTGCTGAGGCATTTGGCTTGATGCCAGAGACCCAAAAATAATAAAATCATAAATTTAAATATATGTATTTTCTTCTTATTTCTGAAATTCTGAAGTTTCTGAAATTCTAGTTGACTTACTTCTTGGGTTAAAACATAAAAGTTATTTGATCAAATGTATTATTGTTACTGGCGTAAGTCCATACAGGTCTGCAGCAGTATCTCTGATACTGCTCACAATATCTCTGAAAAGCAGCTATTTATATGTCCATTCTATAGACAGGAGGACTAGACTCATAAAGATTAAGTTCGTTTTTCAAGGAGCAAGTAGGACAGCTGGCATCAAGCCAGCTTCTTTCCAAAGGCTTACACTTGCTGCTCACTCCAAGGGCTCCTGGCCCCTTTGGGTGCACATCCTGCCAGCAGGAGGTTTCATAGAAATGATAAAAGAGAAATAGCCATCAGGGCTGGCTGCCTAAACCTGCAACCAGCCAGCCACCCAGGACCACATGCTCAGCAGTGGGCCTCTCTTGGGGTTTGGTGCTCTGCAAATGGCATGTCGAAATTTCTAATAATTTGAACTTTGAATCTATGCTCTACGAGTGAAGTCCATTGGAATGTGCTCAGGGGACTTGGAGCCTCAGCTCCCATGCAGTCCCACTCCTGCTGCCTCCCAGCCTTTCTGGGCTCAATTGCCCACTCCTCACCCTCACCCAGCAGCTGCCACTGCCCTCCATTCCTGCTGGGGGCCTGGGCATGCCACCATGCCCAAAAAAGCATATTAAATAGCAAATTTTAAAAACACCTTATCTGGTCAAGAAAGAAAAAGAGAGACTGCAAAGGAAAGGAAACAAGCCTTTTTCCTTGTTTATAAGCACATAGATCCATGTTTTTATCTTGCACTGAGCCTTGAAAATTATATACCCAGCCTTGATAGCAGTGACCTAATATATGTGTCTAGAAAAGCAACATGCACGTGCCCAGGAGCTGCTTGTTGGCTGACTTAACACAGCCCCAACGTTCCAGAATTTTTAAAACCTATCTTTAATACTAAAAGTAGCTCTCCAGGGACACTCAGCCTGTCACACTGCTCTCAAAAGACAGAACAGTCCTTGTAGCTAGTCCACAGCTCAGAACTGAGCAAAGCAGTTATCAGCTCCCTTAAAAGAGCAAAAGCTGACCTTCTCCTGCAATGGAGCTCATCCTCCTTATGCATACTTTTAAACTGTGATAGTCTATGTATAAATAAATTATGGTTATTTTGTTCATTCCTAAATTCTACCAGCAGAATCCCAGGAAGGTACATAAAAAGTCGGTCGTGAGCTCTTGACTTAATTTTAAGATCCAACGGAAGCATGGAAGGGGAGACTCACTTGTCCTCCACCTTCCTGCCAGCCGGTTCCCCTTGATTTCTGAAGATTAAGGTTGCAGCTTTACCACTTGTTTTTGGGTATGTGTCAGCCTTTTTAGATTAAACATAATTATTGCCTAAAGTGGGACTAAGTTTTGTTTCAAGTGTAGCAAGTGTGCGTGCGTTCTCTCTACTTACTGTGTTGTTGTGGGGAGATTCAGTCCAGCACTTGTCAATGCTCCAGGCAACAGCTGACAGTCAGGATGGGCTCCTCCTGGGCCTGCTGCTGGGCAGCTGGCAGGAGCAGAGGCTGTGCACTTGAGCCCTGTCCAGTAGCAACCTGGTCACAGAAGCGAAGCAGGTGGCCTGGAGCCGGGGCTGCAGGGGGAGAGAGGCTCTGCTGCCCTGTGACTGGACAGCACTGGGTGCAGAGAGTAGCAGGATGCCCCGAAGGACAGCCACAGGCTTCCTCATGCCCTGTGCACTGGGGACCCAAAGAGTAGAGTAGGGAACATGCCTGTGAATGCAAGCAGATGAAGAGCCTTTGTGGAGCCCCTGAGGGACAGTGCTTGAAGCTGCCACAGAGAAAGCTGAGTCCATGGAGGCTGCAGTGTTGCACAGGCTCCCTGGCACAGGAGCTCAGCCTATTTAAAGTGTTTTTTTTTTTAGCCCAATAAAGACTGACACACAATAGGCATGAGAGATTTTATTGGGGTGATGGTAACACTGTAATATTGGATTGTGATGGTGGTTGCACAGCTCCGTACATTTACTAAGTTATTGAACTGTACACTTAAAACAGGAGAGTTTTATGGTGCATAAATTATATTTTAATAAAGCCCTCTAAAGAGAAACAGAAAGAGAATATATATATATATACATATAATATTATATATATATATGTATATATACTTTCATTTCTTTTAAAATTATTGTCTATTCAGATCCTAGCTCCAGGTTACATTTATGTTCTTGCTTTTAAGTTTTACTGATGTATAATTTACATAGTATTAAATGTTCACTTTGATGAGTTTTGGAAAATGTAGACATCTGTGTAACCACTGGCACGATCGTGATATAGAACATTTCATTCCCCCATCAAGTTCCCTCTAGCTTCTCTGCAGTCAGCCCTTTCCCTTATCCCAGCCACAGGCCACCACTGACCTACTTTTTGTCACTACAGATTAGTTTAGACTCTTCTAGAAATTCATAGAAATATACTGTTTTGTGTCTGGCTTCTTTTAGCCAGCATAATGTTTTTGAGATTCATCTTGGACTCCCCTTTAAAAACAAAACAATTTGTGTTGTTGAGTTCTCCAATGTGAAAAAGGCTTCTCTATGCCAAGAACAAGTTTTCCAAATTAGGAAACAACTTCGCTTCAATAGTCTGAGGCTTTTGGTTGAAAATATTTTTCTTAACGATGACTTTGGAAGAGAATCCAAACTTATTAAGAAGTTACTGTTAATATTAAGTTATTGTTAAGAATTTCACTTCTAATTTAGAAATCATTTTCTAAAATTACCCTTGCTAAATTAAGAAGAGAGAGAGAGAGAGAAGGAACTTTGGTTAGAGAGAAAGAAACAGGCTAAGATAGAAGTATTTTAAACTAAAAAACATACTCAAAGATATTATATTCGTAAAGTTCACAAACCAGGTGAGTAATTCCTTAGGAAAGGTAGAATATTTCATTTTAAGGCACACAGTAGACACTCAAGTAATTTGGAAAGATTGAATGAATTTGAAAATATTTATAGAATTCACAGGAACAGATGTCTCGCCAAACTTGCCTAAATTACAAGATGAAGCAATCAGTATGAAATTTGCCTTTGGTGATGGATGTGAATCCAAAAGTATCTGAGACAGGTCTCAATCAGTTTAGAACATTTATTTTGCCATGGTTAAGGAGCATGCCCATGACATAGCCGCAGTCACGGCCTCAAGATCTTTACCCTAGGACACAGTTCTGACAACAAGTATCCAAGATAGTCAGGGGGCAGCTTGCCTCTATACATATTAGGGAGACATGAGACCTCAATCAATATGTGTGAGATGCACATTAGTTTGGTCCAGTAAGGGAATGGGGGTGTAGATAAGAGATGAAGGTAGACAAGAGACAAAAGGCTGCATCTTTTTGAATCCTTGATCAGCCTTTCACTGAATAAACAATTTAGTCTGGCTTGGTGAATCTGCATTTTTACATGAACAATAAGGCAGAGGAAGCCATCAAATATGCGTTTGTCTCAGGTGAGCAGAGGGATGACTTTTGTCCCACACCTGTGAAGACAAGCTGTCAGTTTACACTGCCAGAATGAAATTCAGCAGAACTGTTTTAGGGTAAAGATCTTGAGGCCTACAAGGAATTTTCCTGTGGACAAATTGTGAGGAAACGTATGTAGCTTTTTAAAATCTTTGTAGCTATCTTATTTAGGAATAAGATGAGAGGCAGGTTTGCCTGATGCAATTCCTGGCTTGACTTTTTCCTTAGCTTAGTGATTTTGGGGTCTTCAGATTTCTTTTCCTTTCACATGAGCAAGTTTTGCTCACAAGAAAGCAAGCAGCCACTGTGAAGCTGCAGAGTGATTTTTAAAAAAATAAACCAACTTGGCATGGTGGCTCATGCCTATAATCCCAGCATTTTGAGAGGCCGAGGTGGGTGGGTCACCTGAGGTCAGGAGTTCGAGACCAGCCTGACCAATATGGTGAAACCCCCTCTCTACTAAAAATACAAAAATTAGCCAGGCATGATGGTGTGCGCCTGTCATCCCAGCTACCAGCTGCTTGGGAGGCTGAGGCTGGAGAATTGCTTGAAGCTGGGAGGCAGAGGTTGCAGTGAGCTCAGATCGCACCACTGCACTCCAGCCTGGGTGACACAGCAAGACACTGTCTGTAAATAAATACAATACAATAAACCAACTGAACAAAATGTGGGTGTCAGCTGACTTGGGAGTAGGCTAAGTTGCAAATATAATCTGGGAGCCATTATTGAAGCCAAACAGTGGGCTTTGACTGGTTTAAGCCACTTAAGCCACTTGGAGAAGGAGATTAAATGGTGAGAATTAACTGAAGAGGGTTCCACACTGGGGCACATACGCCTTCATCTTCGCCTCCCAGCAGAGAAAAAAAATTGTTCCATTGTTACTTTTCAAAGAGTTGGGTGTTTCTCCACGCTGTGCCCCGACAACACACACCATCTCCGGGAATCCTGAGAACATGCCTCTGGAAATTATTCTGTTCCTGTAACTAGCACATATGAAGGCATCTGAAGCTTCTGCCTGGGACTTCTCTTCCTGCAATCCTAACTAATTGTCATTTTTCAAGTATTTCAACATTTCAAATTGGAAGAGTACCTAGGACTCTAAACTCTCTCATTGCTTTGTTCCCTGCCTGTCCCAACTTCCATTTGGGACTGTCTTCACTGACGACTGTGTTTGACTCACTTCTGGTTACTCTGATCCCCTAGCCTTCTTATTTCTCTTTCCCCTGTAGCTTGGGGCCAACCACTCCGCCGGCTCAATCCCTGCTGGCAGCAGAGACAGAAAATGTTTCACACCTACCTGAGTTTACACAGTCACTTTCTATGTAAGGAGCCAAAACCAAATCCAGGGCCCTCCCCATTCCTCTCCAAGTGTATGGGCTGAACTGTGCTCTTCTGAAAAAGATTTGTTGAAGTTCTGGCCCTCAGTACTGTAGAATGGGACTTTATTTGAAGAGTGTCATTGCAGATAGTTAAGATGAAGTCATACTGGAGTAGGACAGGTTCCTAATCCAATATGATAATGTCCTTATTTTTAAAACCATCATGCGAAGATACAGACACATAGGGAGAACAGCATGGGATGACAACGGCAGAGATGTGAGCGATACAGCTGCAAGCTGAGGAACAGCAAAGATGCCGGTGACCCTTAGAAGCCAGGAATAGGCAAGGAAGGACACCCCACTCCAGGCTTCAGAGGGAGCAGGCTTTGCTAACACCTTGACCTCGGACTCCCACCCTCCAGGACTGCGAGGGAACACAGTTCTATCTTAAGCCACACCGTTGGTGGTGCTTTGTTACAGCAACCTAGGAAACTGATACTCTGCCTGTGACAGGGAATTTTAGGTGTCAGCTTGGCTGGATCAAGGAATGCCTAGAGAACTAGGAAAGCATTTTTCCTGGGTGTGTTTGTGAAGACATCTCCAGGAGACTGGAGTGTGAGTCGATGGACCGAATGAGGAAGATCCCGCCTCAATGTAGATAGGCGCCATCCAATCAGCTGCGGCCCAGAAAGAAGAAAAGAGTCAGAGGAAAGGTTCCTCTCTCTCTTCTGGAGCAGGACACCCTTGTTTTCTTGCCTTTGGACACCAGAACTACAGAATCTCCAGCTCTGGGACTCCAGGACCTACACCAGAGGCTCCCTGGGTTCTTAGGCCCTTGGTCTTGGACTAAGAGTTACACCATTGGTTCTGTTTGTTCTGAGGCCTTTGGACTTGGATTGAGCCAGGCTACTGGCATCCTGGGGTCTGTTGTAGAACTTCTTGGCCTTCATAACCACATAAGCCAATTTCCCTAATAAAATTCCTCCTCTGTATCTGTCTACCTACTCATCTATCTATCTATCTATCTAATCTGTCTGTCTGTCTATCTAATCATCTATCTATCTATCCTATTGGTTCTTTCTCTCTGGAGAATCTTGACTAAGACAATGGGTGGCTCTCATTTGCACTTGACTATAATCTCCTCCAAGAAGTCTAAGTTAGGAGATACTCCTATGACGTCTTATATTTGTCTGTGTTTAACTACTCCATAGTAAAATAAGATTTTTTTAAATAACCAATTTCTTGGTTATTATTATTTTAAAAACATTTTTTTCTTTTCTAGTGTTCTTCCCAAGTGAATAATCAGTCCTCATATGGTCAGGGAGATTATAGGATGGTGGGGCTCATGGAAATTACCATCAAGATTCTCCCCAAAGTGACTTAAGCAAGTGTTTTTATTTCACACCTTCCATGAGGCAAGAATTTGGGAGTCCCTCAGCTGGGTGGTTCTAGTTCAGAACTTCTCATGTAGATACAGTCAAACTGTTAGCTGGGGCTGCAGTCATCTGAAGGCATGGATTCCAAAGCATGGTCCTTAGGAGAACATGGAGGACCAAAGCATAGACATTGTACTTGGGGACATGAGGTTTGAAGAAAGAGGCTCACCCTTCACCACAAACCTGCCAGATGAGAAAATTTCCTGACAAGTGAAGAAGGAAAGGATGAAAAGGGGAGGAGATGAAGGCAGAGGATGGAGGGTTTCTAAGACAGAAGCTGCAACTGGCTTTCCTGTAAGAGTCCTGGGTAATGGGGAAGACCATGGGGCAGTTCGAAGTACTTTGTAGGAGGACTTCGGAAGTATTTAATCTTCACAAATCCCTGTAAATATTATTATTTACAAATGCACAAACTGAGGCTTAGGGAGGTTAAATAACTTGAGCAAAGACACTCCCTGGATAAGTAGGTGTGGTAGCCAGCCTCCAAGATGACCTCCAATGAGTCCTACCCCCAGTATCCACGCCCTTCCATAGTCCCAACTCCCCACATTCAATCAGGATTGGTCTGTGTGACCAAGAGAATATGGCAGAA